TCCCATTCTACCTTTCCCTCTTCTTTTTCTTCCTCCTCCTCCTCTTCCTCTTCCTCCTTCTTCTTTTGGTTTGTTTTTGAAACAGAGTGTGGTCCTGCCTGTCTTTGAAATCTCTCCACAGGTCAGGATGGTCTCAAACTCACAGAGATCTGCCTGCTTCTGCCTCCTGAGGGCTGGGATTAAAAGCATGCACTACCACACTCAGCATGAAAAGTACTCTGAGGTGAGACTCCTGCCTAGTAGCACTCAGTGTTAGGAGATCTGAGAGATCAGAGGTCTCTGAGTGGAGGTAATAGCTTTGATTTAGCCTTGAAAATCAACAAGGTTTCAATATATAGAGAAGAGTAGACCAGGCCACCCCAGGTAGGTGCAAAGTCCCAGGGGAAGAGTGTGTGGAAGGAACCATAGAGCCTTTTACTTGGGTGCTGTGTCTAAAAATTGGTAGATGGGGCATCCCGGAGTATCACAGGCAATGCAAGACCTTGCATTGCACTTAGTGGGGAGGTGTGAAAGGCTTGAGCAGGAAAGATTGGTGCAGAAGACCCAGGGTGCTCTGGCATATCTTGGGAGGAGGCTGATGAGGACATGCTGCATGGGGAGTACTCTTGCTCAGCCCTCAGAGAGAACTCAAGATGGATCCTCGCCAATGCTTATATATTCTGCAGAAGACAAGGGAGAGACGACCTTCATGGAACTTATCTTTCACAACTGGCTTCAAAGAGAAGATGAGGTGACAAAGAGGAGCTAAAAGCCAAGTTAATGATTGGAATGACAACTTGTGGGTCACTGGGGGAAATATCAATAGTTTCATTTAATCATTCACTAAGCAAGGGAATTGCCTGAGGGAAGTGCAGCTCAACTCAGAGTCCAGATGTGGAATAATCGTGGGGGGTGAGGGGAAGCTGATTGTTCTCTGAATGTCCTTTAGAGATTCTCAGGACCCTATTATTCTATTACATCATCTCCTCATAAGGTATCCAGAACCCAGGGCTACAACTAAATATCCTATATCCCCACAGGTCAGTGTGGTGTGGTCATGATGACTTAAACAGTGCCAGTCCTCAGCTGTAGGAAGTGGGTCAGGTGGTCTCAGAAGACCTGTGTAGTAGACAGGGTAAAGGTTAGTCTTCAGTAGGGGACTTTCTGTCTGAGAGTCTTTATTGTCAGTGCCAACCAAGAGAGTGAAAAGAGCCTAGGCAGGCACTGGATGGGTAGTCCTTGTGAGTCCCTGACCTCCTTGACCTCTGAGGGCATATGCAAGTGCCCTCACACTTCACTTTTTGGTTGATTCTGAATGCACAGACTGTTTGCTTATCACATACAACTATGTCACAATCTGTGAGGACATCTGAGCTCATGAACATAGTGAATCAGGCACTGGGTGAATATTCTAGACACTTTCAAGTATTCTTTGGGCTAAATTGTTTCTCCTTCTTCTTCTTCTTCTTCTTCTTCTTCTTCTTCTTCTTCCTCTTCTTTTTCTTCTTTTTCTCCTCCTCTTCCTTTTCCTCCTCTGCATAAGTTATATGAAACGTTAACACAGGTAAACCAATTCCAAAGTTTGATCTGATCCAATTCATCTTTTGGTGGCCTTAATGTAAAGCATACCCATGTAATAATACTTCCTTTTAGATTTGGCAATGACCCAGCATAACCATATTACTGTTTTGCTTCCATTACATTTTTTAAAATTAACATCATTATCATCATCATTATTAGTGGGTGTGTATGCATGTGCACACACACATGTGTGTGTTTACCAGTGCATGCATGACATACTGCCCATGTGATCAGAGGACAACTCTTGAGTCTGTTCTCTCCTTCTACTTTGTGGGTTCTAGGAAGTAGACTCAGGTTTTCATGCTTGGAGGCAATGGCCTTTACCTGCTGACCCCTCTTGGGAGCTCCAGTGCTTCTACCAAACTTTAAACTATTGCCCCATGGGCACATAGGTATAAGAACATCCCATTAATGCTTTTACATTGAGAATGCAAGAGTCATGACAATATTTCTTCTCACTAATTCTAATTCTGTGAGGCTTTTCAGATAGAGTTTAAGTTTCTGCCTTCCTATTCAAGAGGTGTGTCTATTTAATAATGAATACAAATATTGTAACAGTGTAGGAACCATATGTATCCATCATAAATGTGAGAGCTGTCAAAGGTGTCAGAGGCTCCATGTCAATAGAATTTATTCTTACTTGTTCCATGATCAGGGGCTTAGTGATGCTTTCAAGATTCAATAAAGATCCTGAAAGAAAGTGAACATAGTAAGATCATATTTTAAGATATTTTCAGTAATTCAGGCTTGGGGGTGGTGGTCTTCTACAGAACCTGAGTACTACTGATTTTATATGCTGGGTCACAGATAAAATTAAGAGTGGACTTAAAGACTTTAAATGCCCAGGTCCTCTCCATCATTCTTGTTTACCTTATGAGGTGGGAGAGTCAGAAGAGTCACAGTCAGTGCTGTTCCTTTCTCAGAGGAAAAAAATGTATGCACAAATTCAAGCAGAAAGATATCTTTTGGGGGAAGCTTAGGAGAAAGAAAGATGAAAGAGTTAACAGGAATGCCATAAGAAAATCAACAACAAAAAGAAGAAAATGGAGGAGGAGGAAGAGGAGGAAGAGGAAGAAGAGGAAGAAGAGAAGAAGAAGGAGAAGAAGAGGAAGAGGAGGAGGAAGATGAGGAAGAGGAGGAGGAGGAAGAAGAGGGAGGACTGATTGAAGGCTAATTCAGAAAATATAAAATATATGAAATCACTAGCAAACATTAAGTCCTGTGTCAAAAGAAAAAACAACACAAAGGTTAAAGTGTCCTTTACAAGAAAAATATGAAAGTTTAAAATATTAAAAATATAAATTAAAATTTTAATAATGAGTTTTCCAGAAGAGGATGCTAAAAGCACAAATAGATCAGAAGGATTGCAGAAACAATTTAACAAAAATAAAGTACCTATCAATTAAGGCTGTTATCCAATTAACATCTGTCATGGTAAAATGAAAATGGAGAGAGGGGACATCTTTAAACAATAGGGGAAAAAACTCCCCAGAATGGAAGTAACAAATAAGCAACTAGGAAGCACTTCCCAGTATTGAGTGAGGAGCAGAGCAGCTACCCATGAAAGAGCAGAAGCTGCTGATATCAAGCTGCTTGAAGCACAGTGGCTGTTAACAGGACTCAGGGGGCACCGCCTTTGAAGATAGATGTATACCTCGCCACACTTCTGAGCAAATGTGATTGATCTAAACAAAAACATCTTGAAAACATATTACTCATGGATGTACTCTATCAAACATGGATGAGAAGAGTCCAGAAAATGAAAGACATAGGGTCCAGGAAACTGTGGAGATCTGTATAGAATCGTCAGGAGGATGGCCTTTTGGAAGAGAGCGTATGTTGGAGTAGGTGGGGAAGACCCCCGGCCAGAGAAAAACTGGAGTTTGGCCATCACAGCTGGCAAAGCTTAATAAACTCCAGACAAGGCTATTGGTTTTGTCTAGAAAAGAAAGTAGGAAAAGTGGGAGGCAAATGAGTTAGAGATGAGAAATGCCTGGAAGCCCGGAGACTGGCAAGGTTCCAGTTCTTTGTGGGATATAAGAACTCATTGATCATAATGATGTTGAAGGGACCCCCGACGAGGACCCCCGACTCAAGTCCCGATGAGCACGCACCCAAGGAGACACGAGAGACCAACTTGATGCAATTAGCAAAAGGCAGTTTACTGGCGAGGAGCCCTCGGGTCGAAACACATCCCACACAGGGGAGAGAATCGACCAAGACCCCCAAAAACTCAGGGCTTTTATAGGGAGAGGCACAAGGGGGGAAGGGGAAAGCTGGAAATTCTGGCACAGTTACATATAATTGGATATTTCAAACATCAGCAATTTGCATAAGCAATCATTTTGGTGGGCAGGATGACTTGCTATTTTTGACCATGAAACCTCAGACCTCCCAAGGAAGGGAGAAAAACACCAAGTGGCCCATTTCTCACTTGGGCATGTTTGGGCTTGTCAGGGCATGTCGTCCTTGGCTGTCTCCATATTTTTGGTCACTCTGTCCCTGGAGGGGCCTGATATTTTTATTATGGCTATTCTCAAGTTGTTGGTGGTCTTTGCTGAGTTGTTTTTAATTTTTATTCCCACATTCCCTACTCTTTTTGTTTTCAAATGATTTTAATCTTAAAATCACAGGTTCATCTTAGGGTTCATCCCCTAAAATCTCGTGTTTCTGTCTTAACACCAGTAGCTGAATGGTATCTATTCTGGACTTAACAAAAGCTAATATTTATTATACACGGTCCAAAAACTAGGAGTAAAAAAAAAATATTATTATGGGACCAGCTATGGCGGAGAGCAGGGTCTTCAGCCAAGGAGAGTGGGCGAACCAAGACTCGAACCAACCTTGTTGAGTCCCTCTTTCTGGCTTTTATCTAGTCTTTCCCTAAGTTTACTCATAGAATCTTTAATCACTCCTGAGTGGTCTACATAAAAACAGCATTCTTCTTTCAGGGCAACACATAACCCTCCTTCTCTGAGAAACAATAAGTCTAATCCTCCTTTATTCTGCAAAACAACCTCAGAGAGGGAGGTTAATGATTCTTCCAGTTTTGATACTGACTGTTCTAGTGCTCTTAAATCTACATCAATGGCGGCCCTCAATTCATGAAAATAGTGTGGGGTCTGAATTAATGCAGCGGTTCCTGTGCCCATGCCAGCAGCCACTCCAAGCCCCAATATGACAGCTGGGTTAAGGAAATGGGCTCTCAGCGGAAGAGTCTAGGATATGACTCAAATTCACGTTCAAGGGTGCCTGTAGGATGATAGTATACTCGGGGGACTAACTGAACAAGCACACAATAATCTTTGGTCTCATCAAAAACAGCAGTGGAAATGCACAGAGATAATCCAGACCCACAAGCCCACCATTTATCTATTTCTGGTACTAAATATTTATTTTCAGAAGTCTTTGGACTCTTAAGGATCTTATTGCATAAATGTCTATAGGCGGCAGAGGGCTTCCCAAACAAAGTCCTTGTCCTGAAACTTCAGGGAGAGTAAGTCTATTCTTACTGTTCCATGCACAGGCCTCATGGCTGGTGGTAGTGTTAAAAGTCCCTGTTGTAGTGAGGCCTTCATAATAGGGGGCCCTGAAGAAAGGCAGAGCCAGCAAGACTTGGTCATCTCAGGCTGTGAGCCATTTAACACAGTAAAAGCCCCTTGAATTAAATTCAACAGTCTTTGTGCAGTGCTTGGAATGGATGTAGTGGTGAAAGGGGATCTAGCGAGAAAAACCCCTTCCGTGGGTGGCACAGGAGCTATCAGACCATCATGTGGAAGTGGTCTTTGTTCCGGTAACACTTGGTTGGGGCCTATCAGCTGGGCAGGAAGACCTTCTATCTTCAAGTGAATGAGGAGGACAGATCCTGTCCCTCCTCCATACTTATAAAAGACTAGGCCCCATTTCATGCCATTATGCAACCTAGAAAAGTCAGTTGTCTTACCCTTTTCAGTAAATTCTACCTTTATGACATCTACATCAGCCGTGGAGCATGGCTTATCTTTGTACAGTTCCATTTCCACAAATCTGCTTGGCCCTGGATTAGCGAAGGAAAAAAAACACTCTGTCTTGGGTGGATGAACTATCCCACCTCCAATCTCCATCATTCGAGGTAACACAACTCCACTTTCTAAAAAAGAATTCTTGAGGGCCTCCACAATGCATGCCTCTATCAGTATCAGGACAGCTGTAAAACCCAAACCTGCATACCATATTGGGAAGAGTACTTGCGGCTGCACAGTTGATCTGTCAGAAACAGAAGTACAAGGTTGGCCACCAAGTACCTGGAGGGGCAATCCATTGTGCACTGTTCCAGTTTTTACATCTATAATTTGCCAGGTAAGTTGTTGGGGGACGTGGGGATTACTCCCCATCACCTGAGGGTGCCTATTATGTAGGCGCAGCTTAAGAGGATTATCAGTCCGTTCCACAGTCCACCCATCTTGTCAGGAGTCCGGGGGTGCCCTTTTCACATGTGAAGCGTGAACCCAGGTGGGGATCCCGTCCACCTTAACGGCAGTCGGGGTAGTTAACAGTACCAGGTAGGATCCTTTCCACCACAGCTCGAGATTCCCCACTCGATGTCTCCGTATTAAAACAGCGTCTCCGACTTCAAACTTGTGAGGAACAGCAGTGTCTCTAGGAGCATAGGTGTCCTTCAGCTGCTCCCAGACTTCTTTTCTGACTATCTCTAGAGCTTTCAGGAGGGCTAGGAAAGAAGATAATGGGATAGAGCTGTCATCAGGGCAGGCACAGCTCTCTAGGGTTTCATATATTGGAGGAGGAGAACCAAACATAATCTCAAAGGGAGTCAACCCCGAAGGTCCTGATGTGTTCTGCACCCGGAACAAGGCAAGAGGGAGAAAGGCTGTCCAGTCACCCCCACCAGTCTCTAAGCTCAATTTTGTCAAGGTCTCTTTTATAGTTCTATTCATTCTTTCTACCTGCCCTGAGCTCTGGGGTCTATAAGAACAATGTAATTTCCACATGATCCCTAGTTGTCTGGCCAAACCCTGGCTTACCTGGGTAACGAAGGCAGGCCCGTTGTCCAACCCAATTACCTTAGGTACTCCGAACCTGGGCAGAATCTCTTCCAGTATCTTCTTGGCCACCATGTTGGCCGTTTCTTTCTTGGTGGGGAATGTCTACACCCACCATGAAAAAGTGTCTATAAAAACTAGTAGATATTTATTTCCATATCGGGCAGGTCTAACTTCAGTGAAGTCAACCTCCCAATAGGTCCCAGGTCGATCTCCCCTCAGCCACTTTCTTTCCAAGCCTCGGCTGGATCCAGCATTAGTGAAGGCACATGCCTTACATCTTCTTACTATGTCTCTAGCCATCTGTTGCAGTCTTGGAATATGATAGGGAGATTTGTTAGCTAATTTCATCATCTTTTTTGGTCCAAAGTAGGTGAGCTGATGTATACCAGTCAGGTAGTCCAGTGTCTCCTCTCTGGAGAGGACGCTTCCTGGCTTTTCAACATTTTTTTCTGGGGGCCTGTGCCCCACCTTGGCCGGCAGGATCATGGGTCCCTGTGTGGCTTCTTTTGCCATATAATCTGCCATTTGGTTCCCTCTTTCTATAGGGCCAGTCCCTTTCTGATGTCCTAGACAGTGTATGATAGCCACTTTGTGGGGCAAATGGATAGCCTCTAATAAACTGAGAATCTCTTCTTTGTTTTTAATATCTTTACCAGCAGATGTCAGCAGTCCACATTGTCTATAAATTGCCCCATGGACATGGGCTGTGGCAAAAGCATACCGGCTGTCAGTGTAAATGTTAATAGTTTTTCCTTCTGCCAGTCTTAGAGCTTGAGTTAAAGCAACAAGTTCTGCTTTCTGGGCCGACGTCCCTTCTGGTAAGCTGCTGGCCCATATGACAGTCTTTCCATACACTACCGCTGCCCCAGCCCTCCGCTTACCTTCTACCATGAAGCTGCTTCCATCAGTGAACCAGGCTGGTGCTCCTGGCCATGGCTGGTCAGTCAGGTCGGGCCAGATCCCCACCTCTTCAGCCAGTATCTCTTTGCACCGATATACTGGGCTCTCAGTGGTCTCAGGCAGCAGGGTGGCAGGATTAAGGATAGCCGGAGGGGCAAAAGTTACCCATTCAGTCAACAACAAGCTCAACAAGTGAGTCATCCGGGCGTTGGTCATCCACTGGTCTGGCAGCTGTCTGATAATGCTTTCTAGGGCATGGAGGGCCACCACACTCACATTTTGGCCCAGGGTTAGCTTATCATCTTTCACCAGCACAGCCGTTGCTGCTATCACTCACAGGCAGGTGGCCACCCACTGGCCACTGGGTCTAATTTTTTAGACAGATAAGCTACAGTGCATCTCCATGGCCCTAAGGTCTGAGTCAGGACTCCTCAAGCTATTCCCCTCTGCTCATCAATGTATGAGGTAAATGGCTTAGTCAAATCAGGCAAGGCTAGAGCAGGTGCTTGTAGCAGGGCCTTTTTCAGGGTGTCAAAGGCCTTCTGATGGTCCTTGGTCCAGATGAATTCCCCTTTCTCTTTGGTGAGAGGATACAGTGGGACAGCCAAAGCAGCAAACCCTGATATCCACAGTCTACAGAACCCTGCTGTCCCCAGGAACTCTCTTACCTGGCAGGGGCTGGTTGGGGTTGGGATCTGCATCACAGTCTGCTTCCTGCCATCAGTCAGCCATCTCTGTCCATCTCTCAGGATGTATCCCAAATAAGTCACTTCTGTCCGGCACAGCTGTGCCTTTTTAGCAGAAACCCGATACCCCAACTCACCCAACTCGGCCAGGACCTTCTGGATCCCATGTTCACATTCTTCACGGGTTTCTGTAGCCAACAAGAGGTCATCTACATATTGTATAAGGGTCACCTGGGGCTATTTGGTGTGGAAGGTGGCGAGGTCTCGATGTAAAGCCTCATCGAACAAGGTGGGAGAGTTTTTGAATCCCTGAGGCAGTCTCGTCCACATGAGCTGTCTGACTCTTCCGCTCTCCAGGTCCCACCATTCAAAGGTGAACAAAGGCTGGCTATTAGGATGTAATCTCAGGCAGAAAAAGGCATCTTTTAAATCTAGGATGGTTGGTATACCAGGTCTGCTCAGGTGGCAATGTACTGAGCAAGTTATAGGGATTTGGTACTGTAGGGTGGATATCTTCTACCCTCTTATTAACTTCCCTAAGGTTCTGGACTGGACGAAAATCATTAGTCTCTGGTTTTCTTACTGGCAACAAAGGAGTGTTCCATGGGGACCTGCAGGCAGGGGACTAAGACTCCCTGCTGTATCAGTCTCTCAATGTGGGGCCTTATGCCCTCTCTTGCTTCTTTGCTCATGGGGTATTGTCGAACTCCAATAGGTGTAGCTCCAGATTTGAGTTCAATAACTACAGGAGGGGGCTTGTTTTGCCATCCCCATCCCCCCTGTTTTGGCCCAAGATTGGGAAAATCGAGTTAACCAGTTCTGTATCCCTTCTGGGGGCTTTGTTGTTTCTTGGTATAGCCGGTATTCTTCTCCTAATTGGAGGGACAGGATTAAGGCTTGGGGTATCTCTGTCCCCCAGGACAATTCTGGTCCAGTGGAGGTAAAAGTAATTTGGGCCTTTAGTTTTGTCAACAAGTCTCTGCCCAATAAGGGGCACTCTGGAATAACCAAAAATGAGTGGGACACTTGGTTCTTCCCAAGGTTTACCTTCCGGGAGGTGGTCCAAGGACACTGTTTTTGTCCTGTGGCCCCAATTACCAGAGTTCATTTGTTCTTTACTGCCCCCAGAGGTTTTTTTTAGTACTGAGTATTCTGCTCCTGTATCGACTAAGAAATTCATGGGGGTCCCCTCCAGTCTCAAAGTTACCCTAAGGTCGGGGAGGGGGGCCGAGCCCCATCACCTCTAATCTTCATCATCATCTTCCAAGGACAGTACTCTCACCCCTGGCTTTTTAGGGCATTCCCGAGCCCAATGGCCCTTCTCCTTGCAGTATGTACACTGGTCTTTTTCTAGTTGTGGCCGGTCCATCTTTCTGGGTCCCCTTCGCCCCTGCCTTTTCCTGTTGCCCAGGTCCCCTAGCTGTCTAACCTTGGCTAGTCTCTCTCCTCCTACTACTGTGGCCAGTATTCATGTCAAATTCTTTTCCTGTCTCTTTTCCCTTCTATCATCATCTTCTCTCCTTTCTTTCTTTTCCCTTTCCTTCCTCTCTTCCTCAGTCTCTCTCTTATGATAAACTTTCTCTGCCTCTTTCACTACATCCCTAATAGTATAATCCTGTAACCCCTCAATACATTGTAGCTTCTTTCTAATATCTGGGGCAGACTGCCTGATGAAGGCCATAATTACAGAAGCTTGCTGTCCTTCTGACATGGGGTCAAAAGGGGTGTATCTCCTATAGGCCTCCATGAGCCATTCTAAGAACACTGAGGGGGGTTCATCCACTCCCTGCATGACCTCTCTTACCTTAGCCAAATTGGTGGGCCTTCTCATGGCCCCTCTGAGACCCTCCACCAGAGCCAGGCGATACATGGACAGCCTTTCCCTACCTTCCGCTGTGTGGTAATCCCAGTTGGGACGAGTCAGTGGAAATTTCTGTTTAATTACAGTCTCATCTAGGGTCAGGTGCCCCTCATCATCTCCGATATTTTTCCAAGCTTCAGAGACTATCCTCTCTTTCTCTTCAGTAGTAAATAGGGTCTGTAGGAACTGATGGCAATCGTCCCAGGTAGGTTGATGGGAAAACATCAGGGACTCTACCAGTCCTGTAAGTCCAGCAGGATCCTGAGAAAAGGAGAGTTGGTTATTTTCCAATTATAAAGGTCAGAGGAAGAGAAGGGCCAATATTGCAGCACCTGTAATTGATTTAGGTTAGTTGGAGAGGGTCCAACAGACTGAGAGGCAGGGCCACCGTGGAGTTGGGATCTGAGACAGAAACAGCTCCTCTCCTGCTCCTCGTCCCCACCAAGAGCCCACTGCCAACTGTCTCCATGATGGGTGCTTGGGGCACAGAAGGTGCGGGCATGGGATGGGGTTGGGGGGGTGCCGGCGGAGGTGGATAAGGTGGGGGTACGGGAACTAGCCATTCTGCAGGAGGAGGGGGCCACTCAGGGGGTGCCTCAATCTCGGGGTATATCTTTGGAGGGGGCTTCGGCGGAGCGTTGGTCTCTTCATCTTTCCGTGGTTTCGATTTCTTCTTCTGTGCCGCTTCTCCCCGAACAGTCAGGACTCAGGAGCTGGGCCGATGAAAGACCCATGGCTTTACCCATGGGGGCAGGTAGCTTGCTAAATCTTCCCACACATTATCTTCCCTACATTATCTTCCAGTAATGTAGGGCTGCTGGTCTGGATGCGATCCCAATCCCTCCTGAAACACAATTGCCTTAACGGCTTGGATGGTAGACAAATTAAATGTCCCCTCAGGGGGCCATCCTACATTGAAGGTAGGCCACTCTGCAGAGCAAAAGGTCTGCCAGTGTCCCTTCTTAACAGTCTCTGACAAATCCTGTCCTCTAGCCCTAACATCAGTCCAATGCTCTAAAGTCAGAGATAATGGTGTCGTCACAGTTTGTCCCATTTCAAAACTCAACAGACTTACAACAAAAATGCAAACACACAAGACTAACGCAGTCAGACACACTCGTCTGCATCTGGTCCGCGTCTGGTTTTATAGAACCAACCAAACGCAACCTCCATCGGGGAAGGACTCCATGTCTTCCCCCCAAGCAGGAGCACTCCGTCTCCTTTGTTCTGAAACAGGGCAGTCGGGCTTCCCTGACTCCCTTCTGCCCTTGGAGTGTCCTCCAGGGCTGCAGCCTGCGGGCCTTAGCACGTCTGCCTCCGCAGCCACTGAGTCCTTACGTTCTACAGTGGCAGCTGCTCAGAAACTGAAACCAAAACACAGAGACAGCAAGAACAGCAGCGCCCCACTTAGACACATACCCTTCATACCGACCTACCTCCAAGGGGTCTTTGGGTGTCCTGGGTGGTCGCACAAATCCCGGATGAGCCCCCACATGAAAGGACCCCCGAAGAGGACCCCCGACTGAAGTCCCGATGAGCACACACCCAAAAGGAGACACGAGAGACCAACTTGATGCAATTAGCAAAAGGCAGTTTACTGGCGAGGAGCCCTCGGGTCGAAACACATCCCACGCAGGGGAGAGAATTGACCAAACCCCCCGAAAACTCAGGGCTTTTATAGGGAGAGGCACAAGGGGGGAATGGGAAAGCTGGAAATTCTGGCACAGTTACATATAATTGGATATGTCAAACATCAGCAATTTGCATAAGCAATCATTTTGGTGGGCAGGATGACTTGCTATTTTTGACCATGAAACCTCAGACCTCCCAAGGAAGGGAGAAAAACACCAGGTGGCCCATTTCTCATTTGGGCATGTTTGGGCTTGTCAGGGCATGTCGTCCTTGGCTGTCTCCATATTTTTGGTCACTCTGTCCCTGGAGGGGCCTGATATTTTTATTATGGCTATTCTCAAGTTGTTGGTGGTCTTTGGGTCTGCCTCCCAAGTGCTGGGATTAAAGGCGTGTGTCACCACTGCTCAGCAAGTAACAGTCTTTTTAAGGTATAAGTACGAAACATCCAGGAAACAAAAGGTAGGGACTGTTAGTCCAGGTGATGTAAATCTTCATCTGCCACAGCAAGGAAGCAGTGGAGCATCCTAGAGCTGATGAAATGAAGAAATATCAGGCTCACTGCAGCGTTTTGAATAATGAAGTATGTTGTAGCAGGAGCTCTGATAAGAAGAAGACCTCCTTAGAGGCTGAGGGCACGGGAAGGACCCACCAGGAGAGCAATGATTTCTTCCCTGTGCTTGTTTAGGCTCGTTACTTTATTATTGTATATATTAATTCTGTCAATAACATTTTAATCAGGGTGTGTGTGTACATTTATTCCTTCTTCTTATATGTAAAAACTTTTCTTTCTTGTCTGTTTGTTTTGAGACAGGGTTTCTCTGTGTAGCTCTGGCTGTCCTGAAACTCACTCGGTAGACCAGGCTGGCCTTGAACTTGAAGAGATCCACCTGCCTCTGCCTCCCGAGCACTGGGATTAAAGGTGTGTGCCACTAACCTCCCATCCATTTTTGTTTTTCTTTGTGTTGCTGTCAAAATGTCAGTAAAATAATAACAGCAGAATTATTTATTTGAGTTTTTAAGATTTATCTTTAGTGTGTGTGTGTGTGTGTGTGTGTGTGTGTACTATATATATGTCTGGAGCCATTAGAGGGTGCTGGATCCTCAGAAATTGGTGTTATAGATGTTGCTGGTAACTGAACCCAGATCCTTTGAAAGTGTAGCAATTGCTCTTAACTGCTAAGACATTTCTCCATACCTTTACTGGAATTTGTTGCTGTTATTATCATTGTTTGTTATGGGGGTTTTGAGGTGAGGCATCATCTCATTGGCCAGATTTCTTGACTCCTCCAATCCTGTATTCCCGGTGCTAGGACTACATGCATGTGCCACCTCACCAAATTACAGCTATTATTTATTTGTTTATTTGTTTATTTATTCGACAGGAGGTGGCATGTTCCACAGTGCTCTTGTGGGGGTCAGGGAACCACTTTGTGAAATCAGTTCTCTCCTGACACCTTCCCATGGAATTCAGGGATGCAACTCAGGCCTCCAGTCTTGCCTGGCAAGTGCTTCATCAGCCAAGCTGTCTCGCTAGCCTAAATGCCATTTAATAAGCATCTATCAAGCCCCAGACACTGGTCCAAATGCCTCACTTGGAACATTACTTTCCTTCCCAAACTCTGCAGTCCCAACATTACCTTCATTTTATGATGTGGAAATGAATTTAAGGAGATGAAAAATAAAAAAATGTCTAAGGACAGAATTCCACCCCAGGTCTGGCTGTCTCAAGAAGTTTGACTTCTAACATGGCTCAGACTAAATCATCACTGGAATGAATGACTGTGAGTAAATACATTCATATACAGCTCAAAACTAATGCCAAAATTTTCTATACTATTTTACTGAAAATATCATCATCTAGATACAAAATACTTTAGGCTCATAAACTCATGTCACCTGAAATAACTAGAAGAGTTTTGTGAAGAAATAAATAAGGTGTGCTGGGAGCCAAGAGGGAAAATTTAAATTCTCAAAAGTAAGTGGAGAGCTTCTGTCTGGTCGTAGAACAAATTGAAATAGTCTGCTCTGATGAAACACTAGCAGTAAATTAGAGAGAGGCAGCCTCAACTCGTTTAGTTTTTAAGATTGGAGTATTATTTTCCTGCAGGCTTAAATGTCACAGACATTAGGGCTTAATGCAAAATTAGTTTGCTTAAGTGGCTGTGTCTTTGAGCCCCAAGAAGGTCACACAGATACATAAGTACATGCTGCCCCAGTAACAACATACATTTCAGGCCTTTCAATGTTGCATTGACTCTATTAATAAAAACAGTGGAGCACACCTTCCCTTATGGATGCATTTACATACATATTCTGACCCACTTAAGGTGTGCATCATAGCACACACAGCAAAACAGGAAAGCTGGAGGTAAAATAAACACAGCATTAAAACAGAAATCCTGTCTGGGGAGATGACTCCGTGGTTAAGGGCATTAGCCAGAGGACCTCAGTTCCAGTCCTAGCATGAATGCTGGACAGCTCACAAGTGGCTGTAACTCCAGCTCCAGCATCCTCTCTTCTGTTCTCTGTGGACACCGACAGACATGTAGCATATACACATATCCATAAATAAAAATAAGTCTTTAAAAAAGTCTATTTGCTAGTCTCACCCTCTAGTGGCTAATCTTGTGCAACCTGACCT